CTGTATGTAATATTTTAAATATTTTTAAGGGGTTTATATGTAATATTTTAAATGTTAGAGAATCTGAGTGATTAAATGACAAATCTCATAAAATCTAAATATAATTTGCTTAAAATCAAAAGACAAACATGATAAATGATTGAAAAAAATATTAAATTATGTCTTTAATACCCATAAGCTTAAAGGTATTGAAAATAAGACTCCAACCCATCCTTCTCCTCAAAACAAACATGTCAACTGTATAGCTATGGCTTAGTGGCCAACCTATATCTATATCTATGTGTATACTACTAATAAAAGTACGTTATTAAGAAAATTTTTTGATTGATTACTTTAACCCTAAAACAATATATAAAGACAATACTAGTCTTATTTAATTTAGAACTCATATGAATAAGATTAGATTAATGTTAAATTTTTAATTGGACAACTTGACTCTCACAATACTAACATTATTAATCTGAAATTTATATTAATAAAACTTCATTAATATTACACATATTCAAATCTTTCATATTCTTCACATATTCAAATCTTTCATATTCTTTCTTTTAAGAGATAAAAATGAATTGTTAAAATAATTAAATTTACTATTATTTATTTTTATCTATTTTCATTAATTGATGACAAGTTTCTGAATTTTCAAATGAAATTGCATAAATACACTAGAGTCTTATTTAATATAAGATTTATTTCAATATAATTTGGATAATATTAGCAAACCCTTACTTTTCATTTTCTTATCTTTTATGTTTTAGTTTTAATAAATCATCTTTAGTTATGTTTATTGGTAATACTAGAAGCTATTTTATTTGTACCGATTAGCAATGCTACAAATATGTTCAATATTACATTAAATTACTTATAACAACTTTAACTTTTTAAATTTGATCAATCAATTGTTTATAATTAAATGACCACCATAACTTAAAATAGTTCGCTTCTGTATTTTTCATAATTTAATAAGTGTTTGCGATATATTTTAGTTACATATACCCACATACTATAAAATGTATTTACTCTGATGTTGCAAATAAAACTAATCTAAATAATTAACTTCATGTGAAAAATTATAAACTTTAAGGGTGGAGATTACAATAAGGTAATTCATCAAACTTAAGAGAAAATAAAATAATAAAAACTAATATTCGTTCGTTCTGCAAAGATGTAGTGTTATCTCCATAACAAATTATACAAATTTTATAATAGAAATATTCAAAAGATTAGATTTATAAGTAGGTATTTGCTATTATATTTATTTAATTATTTCAAAAATAAAATCATAACTCAAAAAGTCCATGTGCAAAGCACATGTACATGACCTAGTATTTTCAAAAAAAAAAAACAATTGGAATACTTATAAAGCATGTGAGGAAAATCTCAAAAACACGGAAACCCAAGAGTTGTTTGGTTTGCATCTCAAAAAAACACTATTTGTTTGAACAATAATCCATAATCCCACCTCTTTTCAACTCTGTCTCTCTCTCTCTCTTTCACTGTGCATCAAGACCATCCTCGACCCACAACCACCACTCAAACCCCACAATCACCTTTGAAACCCACAACCACCACCCAAACCCACAATCACCACCCAAAACCCACAATCACCATTAATACCCACAACCACTACTTGTGATTTGAACCCAGAAATAGGAAAAAAAAAAAAAAGACACCGGAAAGGATAGAGAAGACACCGGAGAAGACGCCGGAGTTCTTGAAATGGTCTGTGTTTCATCTCCGCTTCATCTAGACAGTGTCGTTGCACAGAGAGAGAGAGAGAGTGTGTGTGACTGTGTGTGGAGATGGAGATAGACACAGGTGAGGGCTTTTATACTTCAACTCAAAAAAAAATGCATTTTGTTGCTAAAGAAGTTTGATGGGTGGACCTCATTAAAGAGGAAGAACTACTTCTCTTGTTTTCTATTTTACCTGAAAACTAAGAAAATATCATTTTGTTATTCTCTAAAATCACATCTCAGTTTTCAAAATTTTCTAGAATTTAGAAAACAAAAAAACTAAAAAAACAAGTTTTTGGTGTTTTTAAAATTTTGAGAACAAAAAACAATTTTTCGAATCCAAACCAATCACGCCCCAAGTATTTTGTTGCTTGGCAATATTGTAGCTCATGGGAGGAAGGATATCAAATCAGTGTCGAACAATGTCTTAGGTTCTAGGAAACCACGACCCATCTTTAACTGCACCACAAGACTCTTCCAAAATCACTCACTGAACTTGCTGCCTTTTCTAAGCTTGGTCCGGTAGGAAATAGATCCCAGTTACAATTTGGAATGAGGAGCCCTCCAAGAGCCAACTACAAGTTACTGTGAGCTCTCCATCTATTGAAACTTGATACTATAACCTGTTTTACTATTTGCTGTTATTTCCAATGCCAAAGGATGAAAAACCATGCCCTTCATGCATAGGCATGTTATGACATAGCACATGTGCACCAGGCAGTGATCTGAAGCTAATTTACTAGGGATTGATTATAGCACATTATCATCTTCTTTTTTGGATGGAGAAAACATTTAGTAGAGCGGGAAGAAACAAAGACAGATTATATGATCTGAATATTTTCGTCAATATATGGTGAGTACTTAAGTTCTAAACCTTCATGTGATGACAGCTATGTTTTGTTACTTTGGCATGTATGTTTTGATAACTATTAGGTTCTATTTTGCTTGAAAAGAGAAGAACATGTTTGCTTTGTTAATTAGTTTGCGTGGAGATATTTTTCTTCATGAAACTTTGACAATGTCAGGTGAAATCTCGAGCCGTAAAATTTGCAAAGTTGATAGAGAATGAAGACGGTGTTGGAAATGCGGTTGATACATTTCACCGGCATTTGCCTCCAGAGCTACCATTGCCAGCCCCATCTTCAGTGGCCGATGATTATCCAAACCCCATGCAATGGCTTTTTATCCAAATTGGAAAATTGTGTTGTCTTCCTTGCGGTTCGATGGTAGGCTTCTTGCAGTAACCTACAAGACTGTAGAGATGTGTCATATTGGTGTGTTTTCTTCTTGTTTGTACCTATGCATGCACCATTTCATTCACTGGCTCTCCTATATGTTCTTAAATAAAACATAGTAAATACATATCCGTATGTGGATATCCGGTTCACTAGTATGATCCAAATCCATCATAAACTCTTTGGGTTTGTATTATGTTGATTTTCTAAGCATGGAATATCTAGTGATGTGGGCATGGCTGATTCATTTTCTGTTATCGTCAATAATTGTCAATACAGGTTTTTTGGCACATAAATGTTTGGCCATTGTAAAATACAGCTAGATTGGTGGTGTTGGTATGTTGTGATTTGTGTGGAGATGGGAGATTGTTTGAGGAGAGATTGACTGTTTTTATTATCTTTTTACCCAAAACTATTTTTATTTAATTTGGAGATTTAATGTATTATGATCAATGAATTAATAGTAAACTTCATTTAATTCTTGGACCTACTAATGTAAGTCCAACGGGTACACGACATATTAAGGCATCAAATTAGGTTCTAATAAAAAAAATGACTTAATTAAGTGACTTAATCAATTACTCCTTCCGTTCTTAAATATATGTAATTTATACAATTTTTTTTGTTCCATAATATCTGTCGTTTAATGAAACCAAAACATAATTAATATTTTTTCTTCCAAATTTACCCTTAACTTTTCAATGCATTAGATTTGATGGAGGCTAAGTGCCTTTTAAATTTCTTTTCTTTCCAATACGTATTGAATAAGGGTATTTTAGTTTTGTGCAATTATTTTTTACTCATATTAGAGTTATTTAATAGTTTCCTTAATCCCTGTGCAAAAACCTTAAACGACAGCTATGTAGGAATGGATGAAGTATAATTGTTGAATTAAATGTGAGTTTCATCTATTCTTAGAACTTAAAATTTATTCAACGATTGTATTAAATTAGGTCTCTATTACATTGTTTGATCCCAGTAACGTTACTCCAATCAATATGGTAGACTTGAGCCCACGAGATTGAAATATCGTTGAGATTAATAAATGAAAAGACTGAATAAAGTGCATATATTGCCAATTAGAATGATGAGTTAATTTCATTAAACTAATTCTTTGACAAGCACTGACCAGAAGATTTGGACAATACAGACACATACAATTCAACACCGTCTCAAACCCAAAACTTATGAACTATGTTGAACTTAATGTTTCTTCTTCACTTGGTTCATGACTATCACTTTTTGTAAATTTTAATGTCTTTCCATCTCGATTCCATAGAGTAGCTTATATTTTTGCGTGCAGCATAAACTCCGCATTTGAAATACAAGTCATCACCCGGGCCTCGATCCTTCGTCTCAAACTTCTGTACGCCATCAATGAAAAGTGTCACCTTTTCTCCATCCACGTCGTGGATTAAATTAACCCGAAACCATTTATCATACATATCGGTAGCCACCAGCTGACCACTGTAGTACCTGAGATCTCCATAGTTGATTGTTAACATAAAAGTTGTTGCACCGTGTGATGCACCATGGATGTGCACTATACAAGCACCTGAGGTCCCGTTTGGTACAAAACCACAGCTTTCAAATTGCCACACTCCCGAAGAGTAGTCAAGCCCCTGCATGAACATAATAAGGATACTAAGCGCACGCAATGGGCCGGGGGGGAGGCTCATGGGCCAGCCCATGGGTCATGGACTAGTTGCCGATGCCTTCTATATTAATATGCTTAATTTTCTGACTTAGAAAAGTAAAACGACAATATATAGTTAGTTAATTTATATACGAGAATGAATGAATACAAATGTAAATGGAGATAGAAGAAGTGAGTACTTGAATGCGAATTTCAGTGCGGGGCTGGGTAAGGCTAGTAAGGTCGTGTGGCTTATCATCGGCAAAAACCCACAACCGATGAACTCCATTTTCAAAACTGTAGCGCTCTTCAAGGGGCAGATCATATGGCTTCTGGATTCTAAAATTATCTTATGCTAATGGCACTTGGGTCAATCCATTTGTTGGACGGCATCAGCACCACAAAACAGAGAGAGATTAGATAATAGGCCCACAAGTACAATGGAAAACAACACACACCAGCTGTTTGATAGATTCATCTTTGTCATTTGAATGTATTTGTGGAACATAGGCAGTAGGAGGGCACCGCGCACTAGCCTATGAAGTCGCCCACGTAGACACACAACAAACAAACATATACATTCAATGTTGCTGACCTGGGAGCCCAAGGGGTCGCCCCAGCAAAAACAAAGGACCATGTTAGCCTACCAAAGTTGACCATAACACCCAACTTTGACCAACACTCCAGCAAAGCCCCAAAGAGGCACCACCACAAAGTGGCTATTTGTCTTGCCTTACTTTTATTTATTATCATTATTATAAAATAATATTTACATAGCCTTGCCATAATACAATATTTATATCGCTTTGCCATTATTATAATAGAATATATGCATGGATTTCAGCATGAATATTATAATATATAATTTTCTCTTTTTTCCCATATACGCACACATAACAACCAAAGGGGCGCCGCTCACTAGCCTCTTTAGGGCCCGCCCAAGCTGCCCAGCAGTCTTGAGGCGTCGCCCAACAGCCACGACACTCCAGGGTCGCCCACGACACGTCTAACGTTGCCCAAGTGCTTCCTTAGCTCTCTTAGCATCACACAAGTGCCTGTCCGGCGCCTAGCTTGCTACTCGTGCAATGATTGACTTAGGACCTAGAGTCCTAGTAAAACTAAGGGATTGATAAACGAAGCTTCTCGGCGAGCGTATCTCTTTTTACAAGTCAGGACTCAACGTCCTAATATGATTCTACCTTAAACATTTAGGAGATTAATGATGAGGTCTATCTTATCACAACTTGGAGTTCGATTTTACTTGGAACACGATTTTCTATGTTACTATATATAAAGGCTACGAGCATCAGGTAAGAGATCTAATCTAAGCCTATTCACTATACACTTTTTCTTCGACTAGTTTACTGACTTAAGCATCGGAGTTCCTTTAGTCGTCTTCGGCCATCGATTCACCTAGGCGTTCTCTTGTCTTGCAGGTTCACCAAGGTTTCTACACCACCTTCTCCATCTGTACGAGGTGGTTACTTTCAACGTGAATTTATCTCCGCACAGTATTCTCTCTCTCTCTCTACAATAGTAAAGCATCTAACGATGAGAGTTGTATGAGCTTCACGCAAGTATATAAGTAATAAAGGAAACCATTCTTTATGGAGGAAGGTGAGTTTTTGGAAGCCAAAATTCAAACTATATAATGTGGGACAATATTAACTTAGGAAGTTTTGTACAGAAATTGGTTTGACTTGTTTTGGAAATTTCATCTTATGTACCTAATCTGATTATTTTGAGTATGACTCTTGCCTTTTTTCTAGGTGGGATAAATCTTAGTCACATAATCTTTCAAAAGAGTTGATGCTTTGGCATTCTGCACAAGAATTTATGCTTTGAGAACGAATTCTCCATAAATTTGTACTCTTATTTAATAAAATTCAAGAATTCAAATTTTCAATTAACAAATTCGCACTCTTATTTACTTATATGCTTACTCATTATTATTTAAACTTTTATTTAAAAAGTATTGACTCATAGATAAAGATACATATCAAAATAGAATAATATTTGTAACATATTATTGCTATTTCAAAACCTTATAATCAATATATATATATATATATATATTAAATAGTTTATCACATAGTTGTGCATAAAATTTAATTTTTTATATTTAATTTTATTAACTTTTATGGATGAATATTTGTCTTGATACATATACTATGAAACTCTTAAACGCTCTCACTCTACTATGATGTGACAGTGACACGGTATAATAGTAATCTTGTGATATAATTGTTATACTTTTGTATTGGTCCTCCATCATTTGACACATTATTATATCAGTAAAATTAAATGAGTTATTTAGGTCCCAATAGAATTATTGTTTACTCTTGATCACCAAACTAAGGGGTCAGCGACAATGACGCTAGAAATACAGGAGAAACAGAGAGGGACACATGGAAACAATACAGGGAATAAGAGATGAAGTTCACCACTCTATGAAATCAATTAAAAACAAAAGTTAAACAAAAAAAAAAATTGGTAATTAATAGTCAAAGGTAGTTCTTTCATCCAATAAAAAGACTCTTACCCATTCAACACTTGAAAAAAAAAAAAAAAGTCTTATATAGGCTTATCTTAAACCAATCCTCGGAGCATGGGTAAATTCCAATGCAAAAATCATAATATCACGATGCACGAAGACTCTTTTTTGACAAGAAACGATCAATAATTTTATTAGAAACTAATCTGATAGCTGTGATACAACACATTGTACAGAAGGTAACAAAAACAGAGGTCTTCCTCACTTGGGTGAATCCATCTGTTGGATCAGCACCACCACCAGAAAAACAGAGAGAGATTAGACAGGAAGCCCACAAGTACAATGAAAAAAATGCAACCAGCTGTTTGATAGATTCATCTCTCTCTCTCTCTCTCTACAACAGTGAAGTGTCTAAGTATAAGAGATGTATGAGCCTGAGGCAAGCATACAAGAAATAAAGGAAACCATTCTTTTATGGAGGAAGATGAGTTTTTTGGAAGCCAAAATTCAAACTAGTTAATGTGGACAATATTAACTTAGGAGGAAGTTTTGTACTGAAATTGGTTGCACTTGTTTTGGAGATTTTAACTTATGTACCTAATCTGGTTATTTTAATTATGACTTTTGTCTTTTTTCTAGGTGGGATAGACCAAGGCTTCACTGCCCAGCGCCGGCTCCACCTTCACCTTTAGGCTAGTGAGGCAATCACCTAGGGCCTCATTCAAAGTATGTCGCTTAAAATTATACAACTAAATTTTAAAAAATATAAAAAAAATTAAGATGTTACATCAAATGTTCAAAAATTTTAAAAATATTTTTTAAAATCATAAACATATGTACATTCAAAAATAAAATTAGTAAAAAAAAATATCCCACCATATTTTTGAACAAAAAATTACAAGACCCTCCTCACGAATTTTATTAATGGAAAATTACACAGAGACCCTTTAAAGTTTGTCACTNATTATACAACTAAATTTTAAAAAATATAAAAAAAATTAAGATGTTACATCAAATGTTCAAAAATTTTAAAAATATTTTTTAAAATCTGATCACCCAAGCTCCTTGACATTTGAAATATTACACATAGACTCCCGAGATTTGTACGCGAATACCACTTATACCTCATATCTATTAATAAATTATACTTAGACCCCCTTAAGTTTGTAACTATATAATATTTATACTCTTTAAATTTAAAATATTATAACAAAAAATATTCTAATCAAAGATAGAATATTAAATATTTTAAATTTTACAACCAAAATTCATGTTCTATTATATCATTTATTGAAATAAAATTAAAATTTAAAATTTAATTTTTCTTAAAAAATTATAATTAGTATATAATTATACTATATATTGGAAGAAAACTAAAAAAATAAACAAGAGGTCTAAGTCATTCATAATATAACATAAATTTTACATCAAAAATTTATGTTCCATTATGTCATTTATTGAAATAAAATCTAAAATAAAAATCTAGTTTTTAAAAAAAAAATCATAGTTAGTATATATTTATGCTATCTTTTATAATAAAACCAAAAAATTAAACAAGGGGTTAAACTATAATGAACACAATATCTTTTAGCTTTAATTAGGGTAGGTTAGTATTTTAATTTGGCCATTTAAATGACTAAATTAAATTTTAATAGACAATATAATTATATACTAAGTATGATTTTTTAAGAAAAAAATGAATTTTTATTTTTGATTTTATTTCAATAAATGATACAATAGAACAAAAATTTTAATTGTAAAATTTAAAATATTTGATATTTTATCTTTAATTAAAATATTTTTTATCTAAGTATAACATTTTAAACTTAAGGGGTCTAAATAATATATGTTTACAAAATTTAGGGGATTTGAGTGTAATTTATTAATGGATATATTTATAGTAGGGGTCTAAGTGTTACACGCGTATATTCTGGAGGTCTCTGTGTAATATTTTAAATGTCAGGGATTTAAGTGATTAAGTGGTAAATTTCAAAGAGTCTGAGTGTAATTCTCACTTTATTTAAATTCTTNTGGAAGCCAAAATTCAAACTATATAATGTGGGACAATATTAACTTAGGAAGTTTTGTACAGAAATTGGTTTGACTTGTTTTGGAAATTTCATCTTATGTACCTAATCTGATTATTTTGAGTATGACTCTTGCCTTTTTTCTAGGTGGGATAAATCTTAGTCACATAATCTTTCAAAAGAGTTGATGCTTTGGCATTCTGCACAAGAATTTATGCTTTGAGAACGAATTCTCCATAAATTTGTACTCTTATTTAATAAAATTCAAGAATTCAAATTTTCAATTAACAAATTCGCACTCTTATTTACTTATATGCTTACTCATTATTATTTAAACTTTTATTTAAAAAGTATTGACTCATAGATAAAGATACATATCAAAATAGAATAATATTTGTAACATATTATTGCTATTTCAAAACCTTATAATCAATATATATATATATATATATATTAAATAGTTTATCACATAGTTGTGCATAAAATTTAATTTTTTATATTTAATTTTATTAACTTTTATGGATGAATATTTGTCTTGATACATATACTATGAAACTCTTAAACGCTCTCACTCTACTATGATGTGACAGTGACACGGTATAATAGTAATCTTGTGATATAATTGTTATACTTTTGTATTGGTCCTCCATCATTTGACACATTATTATATCAGTAAAATTAAATGAGTTATTTAGGTCCCAATAGAATTATTGTTTACTCTTGATCACCAAACTAAGGGGTCAGCGACAATGACGCTAGAAATACAGGAGAAACAGAGAGGGACACATGGAAACAATACAGGGAATAAGAGATGAAGTTCACCACTCTATGAAATCAATTAAAAACAAAAGTTAAACAAAAAAAAAAATTGGTAATTAATAGTCAAAGGTAGTTCTTTCATCCAATAAAAAGACTCTTACCCATTCAACACTTGAAAAAAAAAAAAAAAGTCTTATATAGGCTTATCTTAAACCAATCCTCGGAGCATGGGTAAATTCCAATGCAAAAATCATAATATCACGATGCACGAAGACTCTTTTTTGANAAAAAAATAAACAAGAGGTCTAAGTCATTCATAATATAACATAAATTTTACATCAAAAATTTATGTTCCATTATGTCATTTATTGAAATAAAATCTAAAATAAAAATCTAGTTTTTAAAAAAAAAATCATAGTTAGTATATATTTATGCTATCTTTTATAATAAAACCAAAAAATTAAACAAGGGGTTAAACTATAATGAACACAATATCTTTTAGCTTTAATTAGGGTAGGTTAGTATTTTAATTTGGCCATTTAAATGACTAAATTAAATTTTAATAGACAATATAATTATATACTAAGTATGATTTTTTAAGAAAAAAATGAATTTTTATTTTTGATTTTATTTCAATAAATGATACAATAGAACAAAAATTTTAATTGTAAAATTTAAAATATTTGATATTTTATCTTTAATTAAAATATTTTTTATTTAAGTATAACATTTTAAACTTAAGGGGTCTAAATAATATATGTTTACAAAATTTAGGGAATTTTGGTGTAATTTATTAATGGATATATTTACAGTAGGGATCTAAGTGTTACACGCGTACATTCTGGAGGTCTCTGTGTAATATTTTAAATGTCAGGGATTTAAGTGATTAAGTAATAAATTTCAAAGAGTCTGAGTGTAATTCTCCCTTTATTTAAATTCTCAATAACTCTAACCTATTTATTCATTTAATTTTCTTGAATTATAATTTTTGTGATAATTTTGATTTTAATCTAATAGTTCACATAATGTGTTTGTTTTGCAAGTTATTTTTGACCTTAAATATAACTACTAAAAGTTATGAATTTAAATATTTAAAATTAAAAACAAAAATAATCAAATTATTCATCTAAAAATAATTTAGGGCCTCCATTTAAATTTTTGTGTATTCGTGGGTCGACCCTGAGCTTGACTAAAATGATGTGAGCTCTTACAACATTGTTGTAGTGTTTTTTGGTTACCCAAAGAAAATATATAAGTACGTGTGTCATTTATTTATTGTTTTTTATTTTTTTTCAGATCAGATATCTTTAGTATGTTATCATCATTAACACTGAAATTATTAATTGATTAAAAAAATAAATATATAGAACTAGTGAATCCACTAAATTTTATAATGGCTAATTATTTTCATATTGAATAACTATAATGTTAGTCAAATTAGTGAATTTTACTAGTCTTTATTATTTATTTACAATTAGTTAGTGATAAACTTGTTAATAATGTCATAATATCACTATTAAAGGGACAAGAGAAGTATGAGGTTCCGGGAGAAGGTTTTCGTAGTGGAGAAGCTAGAGGCAATTGAAGAATCGATGCATATGTGAATAAATGAAACACTCTGATAGTTGAGGGAGTAAAGTAGAAAAAGGGTGAGAGTTTAGGGCGTGAAAGTATAATTTACCCATATTACAATACGTAATCATGTTAATTATTACAGACATTACCTAACTAAGGCAAATTTGTATTTTATGCCCTAAACAAATTTAAAAAAAATTATTTTAGGATTAAATTTCTCATATTATATCTTCATGCTTCTCATATTATATTCTCATGTATTAAAAATATTATAATTTATTTTTAGTTTTTGTTATTTATTCAATTAATATTAACGAATATTTATTGATTGAATGAACAACAAAAATTAACTAAAAAATCATATTGTAATATTTTTAATATATTAGAGATACAAAGTGAGAATTATTAAATATTTTGGGGTACAAAGTGAGATTCCTCCATCAATATATTTCAGCACAACGCCTGCTCTTTTTCGCCCTCGTCTTCTCCGCATTTTCCGTCCAAGAAAGCGCTCTCTCTCTCTCTCTCTCTCTCTCTCTCTATGGCGATGTCTGTTGCAGCCACAACAATTCGCTCACTGAGGTCGGACAACACTACCTCCTTATCAGCATCTTCGTCTTCTTCCTCGAAGCTTTCGTACTTGTCCTCTCTGCAATTTCCTCGACAGCTTGGCCGTATTCCTATTGGAAACAGAGGGTTCACCTCTCTTTCTCGGCCTCGAATTCTTCCTCTGGTGGTAATTTCTCAGTCTATACACAGAAAATTTATTATTACTGGATGTTTAGAACTTTATTTACCTTTTTATTAGAGATTTTGAGCTTAATATTTTCAGTTTTGATTCTGCAGCAGTGGTGTTCCTACTCATCTGCTCTTCTCATTGAGAAAAATCTTATCTACGGTTTTACTTTATGTACAGTATCACATTTTTTGATGCATTGATTTGTTCGAATGTGTGCTTTTGTTCAACATTGAATTGTAGTATAATTGTTTTGTTCGAAAAAGAAAAAAATTATAGTATAATTGTGGCTGTAGGGTTTGAGGAGGACTTGATATGATAAATTTTGTGGAAGGTGGTGTTCGCAGTGAAGGATTAGGAGATGAATTGAAATATAACTTGGTGAAGTGAACTAAATTTGATTCTTAAAGGAAGTGAGTGATTTAAGATTTACCCTATCAGGGGACATGAAGAATGTAACTTGCTTTAGGAATTGGTAGCCGAAACTATATACTGTCGACGAAAGTAATGGAGCTGAGGGATGGTCAAGACTTAGCGTGGCACTACCCATGATGCTGTTGTAGACAGCGGATTGAGAATGTTATGCTAAATGGCGTTGGAACCTTCTAATNAGACTTAGCGTGGCACTACCCATGATGCTGTTGTAGACAGCGGATTGAGAATGTTATTCTAAATGGCATTGGAACCTTCTAACGCAGCCAAATTTTCAGGTATGGTAGGCAGTAAGGTTTTAGAGTTGGATCTTCTTGGCTGATGACAAGCGACATTGCAATTGAACAGTTTTGAGACTTCTCAGTGTTTGGAGATTAAATATGGTGGTTGCGTTATTTGAATAGATATTTATAACCTCGATTTTTTGAAGATGATCTTGTGCTTTGGCTATGGAATTGATTTGTTGTTTTTGGAGTGAACTCTGTCTTTCTTATTAAGAAGAACTACACACTGAATTTATGTGAAAAGGTTAGTGCTTGAATGCCCCTCAAATGTTGCATGTTTTATCATTTATGTGAACTATAGTCAATTGTAGGTGTGATTTTGTTACAACCTTACTTTGAACAGGATCTGTTCTATAGGCTTGTACCTCTCTATCCTTGTGTTCTAAGTAGTTGTGATTTTGTTGGTTGGAAATATAGTAGAAAATGTTTGTTTTGTATAGGTGTGAGAATAAAGAGAGTCAGTAGACTACAAATCATCTCTGAATTCATTTGGAGCTATGAATGAAGTTTGGTGTTTAACTTTCTCTCTTTTTTGAGTGTTTTGAAGGCCCCAAGGAAGTGGGATCCTTGTTAAAAGGTGGTGGTCAAGGTGTATAGGCTACAAATATGCAAAGCTTTGAAACGTTGCTGCTTGTAACTAAACTTTCTGGTTCAGGTGGAAGGATTGGTTATGGAGGGTAGTTGAAGATTTTTGCCAACTTAAAGGTTTGGTACAAAAAGTGCACTTTCGGTGTCTCTGAGCAAGGTTTAAAGTGTTCTTCTGTTTAATTTTTTTTCCTTTGAATTAACACCTTTCTCCAAAATAATCAAGCAGCAGTTAACCAATTTAATATCCTTGACAAACTTTATTGTGTCCCAAATTCATGAATGAATATTGATATTTAAAGGGGCATTTGAATAAAGTGTCTCCAGTTGCTTGCAGTTTTTACCATTCGGAGGGAGAAAAACCTCTTTGCAAGGTGAATTTGTGATCTTAATGTAGCATAGGATATCTTTTTATTCCAAGCGAGTTGTTAATCCTCCCAAATATTAGAGGAGAGAAGAATTGCATTGTTCTGTGAACATTGAATTTCATTGTCTCTTAGTGATGGATTGGGGTTGTTTGTAAAGTTGTCTTCTTACTCTTTTTTTTTCATGAGAGTTTCTCCTCATTTCAAATGTTTTCTGCAAATATTGTGAGTGCTAAACTTGCCTTTTATTAATAATTTAACTGCCTTTTGTCTAGCATCTTGTCTTTTCTTCGCATTTAAGTTGGCAGAAGTCATCATGTGTGCAGATTCAATTGCTTATTGAATCTGTATTTATTGTATCAAGCAGATCCATTTTCAATGTGACAAAGCAGTTGTTGGTTTTGACTAAAATTGAACTATTGGACTTGGGATTCATTTCATATTTCATATTGATGTGTACATCCTTTAGCTACCATGTTTGGTATGGCAAGATTGCAGGTTTCAACCTATCTGGTTAATTATGGTTGATTTATGCTTGGCAATTAGGTTGAGGCAAAGAAGGAAACATTTTCTTCCTTCGATGATTTGCTGGCAAATTCTGACAAACCTGTACTGGTTGACTTTTATGCAACTTGGTGAGTTGCATTGGACTTATTTTTCTTTTATTGCCTTGCCATTTTTTCTTATACAGGACATGGTATCTGAAATCTTATATTTCGTGACCTATGCAATCTTCCTAGCTAAGAGCTAAAATGTTTACCCAATTAATTGAGACACCAATCCGTTCTCTGTGTTGTAAGTCAAATCCTCCTGTAAGTGAACCTTGAGTCCTTAGGGAGGAGAGTTTGTCAGTTAGTAGGCTACTGCAAAAGTTGTTGATCTCTGGAGCATTTTCTGGAAGCATGGTGTTCTGATATCTTCTTGTCACTAGCCAGATGTGCATAGTGATGTTAATGTCAAATTCAAAGAGTAACCTGAAATTTGGTTTTCAGGTGTGGTCCTTGTCAATTTATGGTCCCTATCCTCAATGAAGTTGGTGCTAAGATGAAAGATAAGATCCAGGTGGTGAAAATTGACACCGAAAAGTACACAAGCATTGCGGACAAGTACAAAATAGAGGCATTGCCAACTTTCATCATATTTAAGGATGGGAAACCCTCTGATCGCTTTGTAAGTGCAATTTATCTTGATTACTTGTATGTGATGCTCCAATTCTGGTTCTTCAGATGCTGGCTTAGAGACAACGGTGTGGAGTTACCATAAATAACCTAATTATTCTCACATTCTGAGGCACAGGAGATTGCTATGACATGATTGAGAATTATCTGATTAGCTCCATTTGCCCCCCAGTGTTGGGAGATCAATTAACATGACCAATTTTTAGGCCTGCTTTGTTTTGTTGTTAGCTTGCATGGGGTTTAATTTTACTTCAGAGTATTGTAATTTGTAAAAAATACTACAGTGCAAATGCTTGGAATAATCTGTCAAGTATTCCAGGTTCATCGCGTTGAATCAGATATTAATTGATGTGATTTATCTAATATTGAAAATGTCGTCTTCCATTTGTTCCACCATCCATGTGTTAAAGTTATAAGTAGGCATCAGCGTCCTACTCGAGTAGGGATCTCAAAATTGCATGTATGGTTTTTTTTTTTTTTTTGCTTTAAATTTCTTTCAACACTCCACTCTGGGACTGGTTTTCAGGAAGGAGCTTTGAATGCAAACCAGCTTATCCAACGCGTTGAGGCCTCACTAGAAGATAAGCAGTAGTTTTCTGGTAAGCTCTCTCTTTTTCTCCTTTCAATCAGAGGTTAGGGCGGTTCATTTTCTCTCTATTTTTTTTCCCTGTCCCCCCTCCCCCCCTTCCTCACTCTTGCGGGGGCAGGTGGTGGTTCACTTTATGGAAACACTCCGATTTAGAAATGAACATAACTACAGTTTTTTCCTTTTCCTTTTTTTTAAAAGTGCAGGTTAGACAGGGAAACTGATATTGTCATGAAGTTTAACAGTTACAATGGTGGAGTTCATAGAAGAAAATGAACAGCCTGATTGCTCCCTATTCTTTTGAACTAGTGTAGTGTGCCTTCGAAGTGTGATTTACTTATGTTGACTTTCTGATGAATTGCTGATCAAGTGAAACAAAATGCCCTTTAAATTTGAGTTTTGTTATCCTTTAAATTTGAATTTGTCAATTAGAACCCTTTATATTAAATCAAAATTTTTTTATTCAAATGTTAACTCTAATTTGTATAAAAATTTAAGTTAAAAGTTAGAGATTCTCGAAATTTAAACTCGTTTTGCGTATTCCGAACTAATCCCTACTGTTAAAGTAGATAACAAAAGGAATTTACTAACTGGAGGAGGATAATTTTGGTAATTTAACACAATTTGTGTGCATTACGAATAGGGATATGTAAAGGCTGTCAAAAGGTAAACAAAGACTCCGACAGGTCCAGAGAATTGGTAATATTATAGTTGTGGATGGATTACCACATTTTGTTGATAGAGCTCAAAGTGCGGGGAGAGTTTGTGGGGGTTTCAGAGAGATTTTTCAAGATGAAATTTGAAGCAATGGATCGAATTTAAAACGGTCTAAACCTAATCTAAATATGTTGGGATTTCATATTCTCATGACACGTCGATGTATTAAGAATGTAAATTTCNCTCTATGGCGATGTCTGTTGCAGCCACAACAATTCGCTCACTGAGGTCGGACAACACTACCTCCTTATCAGCATCTTCGTCTTCTTCCTCGAAGCTTTCGTACTTGTCCTCTCTGCAATTTCCTCGACAGCTTGGCCGTATTCCTATTGGAAACAGAGGGTTCACCTCTCTTTCTCGGCCTCGAATTCTTCCTCTGGTGGTAATTTCTCAGTCTATACACAGAAAATTTATTATTACTGGATGTTTAGAACTTTATTTACCTTTTTATTAGAGATTTTGAGCTTAATATTTTCAGTTTTGATTCTGCAGCAGTGGTGTTCCTACTCATCTGCTCTTCTCATTGAGAAAAATCTTATCTACGGTTTTACTTTATGTACAGTATCACATTTTTTGATGCATTGATTTGTTCGAATGTGTGCTTTTGTTCAACATTGAATTGTAGTATAATTGTTTTGTTCGAAAAAGAAAAAAATTATAGTATAATTGTGGCTGTAGGGTTTGAGGAGGACTTGATATGATAAATTTTGTGGAAGGTGGTGTTCGCAGTGAAGGATTAGGAGATGAATTGAAATATAACTTGGTGAAGTGAACTAAATTTGATTCTTAAAGGAAGTGAGTGATTTAAGATTTACCCTATCAGGGGACATGAAGAATGTAACTTGCTTTAGGAATTGGTAGCCGAAACTATATACTGTCGACGAAAGTAATGGAGCTGAGGGATGGTCAAGACTTAGCGTGGCACTACCCATGATGCTGTTGTAGACAGCGGATTGAGAATGTTATTCTAAATGGCATTGGAACCTTCTAACGCAGCCAAATTTTCAGGTATGGTAGGCAGTAAGGTTTTAGAGTTGGATCTTCTTGGCTGATGACAAGCGACATTGCAATTGAACAGTTTTGAGACTTCTCAGTGTTTGGAGATTAAATATGGTGGTTGCGTTATTTGAATAGATATTTATAACCTCGATTTTTTGAAGATGATCTTGTGCTTTGGCTATGGAATTGATTTGTTGTTTTTGGAGTGAACTCTGTCTTTCTTATTAAGAAGAACTACACACTGAATTTATGTGAAAAGGTTAGTGCTTGAATGCCCCTCAAATGTTGCATGTTTTATCATTTATGTGAACTATAGTCAATTGTAGGTGTGATTTTGTTACAACCTTACTTTGAACAGGATCTGTTCTATAGGCTTGTACCTCTCTATCCTTGTGTTCTAAGTAGTTGTGATTTTGTTGGTTGGAAATATAGTAGAAAATGTTTGTTTTGTATAGGTGTGAGAATAAAGAGAGTCAGTAGACTACAAATCATCTCTGAATTCATTTGGAGCTATGAATGAAGTTTGGTGTTTAACTTTCTCTCTTTTTTGAGTGTTTTGAAGGCCCCAAGGAAGTGGGATCCTTGTTAAAAGGTGGTGGTCAAGGTGTATAGGCTACAAATATGCAAAGCTTTGAAACGTTGCTGCTTGTAACTAAACTTTCTGGTTCAGGTGGAAGGATTGGTTATGGAGGGTAGTTGAAGATTTTTGCCAACTTAAAGGTTTGGTACAAAAAGTGCACTTTCGGTGTCTCTGAGCAAGGTTTAAAGTGTTCTTCTGTTTAATTTTTTTTCCTTTGAATTAACACCTTTCTCCAAAATAATCAAGCAGCAGTTAACCAATTTAATATCCTTGACAAACTTTATTGTGTCCCAAATTCATGAATGAATATTGATATTTAAAGGGGCATTTGAATAAAGTGTCTCCAGTTGCTTGCAGTTTTTACCATTCGGAGGGAGAAAAACCTCTTTGCAAGGTGAATTTGTGATCTTAATGTAGCATAGGATATCTTTTTATTCCAAGCGAGTTGTTAATCCTCCCAAATATTAGAGGAGAGAAGAATTGCATTGTTCTGTGAACATTGAATTTCATTGTCTCTTAGTGATGGATTGGGGTTGTTTGTAAAGTTGTCTTCTTACTCTTTTTTTTTCATGAGAGTTTCTCCTCATTTCAAATGTTTTCTGCAAATATTGTGAGTGCTAAACTTGCCTTTTATTAATAATTTAACTGCCTTTTGTCTAGCATCTTGTCTTTTCTTCGCATTTAAGTTGGCAGAAGTCATCATGTGTGCAGATTCAATTGCTTATTGAATCTGTATTTATTGTATCAAGCAGATCCATTTTCAATGTGACAAAGCAGTTGTTGGTTTTGACTAAAATTGAACTATTGGACTTGGGATTCATTTCATATTTCATATTGATGTGTACATCCTTTAGCTACCATGTTTGGTATGGCAAGATTGCAGGCTTCAACCTATCTGGTTAATTATGGTTGATTTATGCTTGGCAATTAGGTTGAGGCAAAGAAGGAAACATTTTCTTCCTTCGATGATTTGCTGGCAAATTCTGACAAACCTGTACTGGTTGACTTTTATGCAACTTGGTGAGTTGCATTGGACTTATTTTTCTTTTATTGCCTTGCCATTTTTTCTTATACAGGACATGGTATCTGAAATCTTATATTTCGTGACCTATGCAATCTTCCTAGCTAAGAGCTAAAATGTTTACCCAATTAATTGAGACACCAATCCGTTCTCTGTGTTGTAAGTCAAATCCTCCTGTAAGTGAACCTTGAGTCCTTAGGGAGGAGAGTTTGTCAGTTAGTAGGCTACTGCAAAAGTTGTTGATCTCTGGAGCATTTTCTGGAAGCATGGTGTTCTGATATCTTCTTGTCACTAGCCAGATGTGCATAGTGATGTTAATGTCAAATTCAAAGAGTAACCTGAAATTTGGTTTTCAGGTGTGGTCCTTGTCAATTTATGGTCCCTATCCTCAATGAAGTTGGTGCTAAGATGAAAGATAAGATCCAGGTGGTGAAAATTGACACCGAAAAGTACACAAGCATTGCGGACAAGTACAAAATAGAGGCATTGCCAACTTTCATCATATTTAAGGATGGGAAACCCTCTGATCGCTTTGTAAGTGCAATTTATCTTGATTACTTGTATGTGATGCTCCAATTCTGGTTCTTCAGATGCTGGCTTAGAGACAACGGTGTGGAGTTACCATAAATAACCTAATTATTCTCACATTCTGAGGCACAGGAGATTGCTATGACATGATTGAGAATTATCTGATTAGCTCCATTTGCCCCCCAGTGTTGGGAGATCAATTAACATGACCAATTTTTAGGCCTGCTTTGTTTTGTTGTTAGCTTGCATGGGGTTTAATTTTACTTCAGAGTATTGTAATTTGTAAAAAATACTACAGTGCAAATGCTTGGAATAATCTGTCAAGTATTCCAGGTTCATCGCGTTGAATCAGATATTAATTGATGTGATTTATCTAATATTGAAAATGTCGTCTTCCATTTGTTCCACCATCCATGTGTTAAAGTTATAAGTAGGCATCAGCGTCCTACTCGAGTAGGGATCTCAAAATTGCATGTATGGTTTTTTTTTTTTTTTTGCTTTAAATTTCTTTCAACACTCCACTCTGGGACTGGTTTTCAGGAAGGAGCTTTGAATGCAAACCAGCTTATCCAACGCGTTGAGGCCTCACTAGAAGATAAGCAGTAGTTTTCTGGTAAGCTCTCTCTTTTTCTCCTTTCAATCAGAGGTTAGGGCGGTTCATTTTCTCTCTATTTTTTTTCCCTGTCCCCCCTCCCCCCCTTCCTCACTCTTGCGGGGGCAGGTGGTGGTTCACTTTATGGAAACACTCCGATTTAGAAATGAACATAACTACAGTTTTTTCCTTTTCCTTTTTTTTAAAAGTGCAGGTTAGACAGGGAAACTGATATTGTCATGAAGTTTAACAGTTACAATGGTGGAGTTCATAGAAGAAAATGAACAGCCTGATTGCTCCCTATTCTTTTGAACTAGTGTAGTGTGCCTTCGAAGTGTGATTTACTTATGTTGACTTTCTGATGAATTGCTGATCAAGTGAAACAAAATGCCCTTTAAATTTGAGTTTTGTTATCCTTTAAATTTGAATTTGTCAATTAGAACCCTTTATATTAAATCAAAATTTTTTTATTCAAATGTTAACTCTAATTTGTATAAAAATTTAAGTTAAAAGTTAGAGATTCTCGAAATTTAAACTCGTTTTGCGTATTCCGAACTAATCCCTACTGTTAAAGTAGATAACAAAAGGAATTTACTAACTGGAGGAGGATAATTTTGGTAATTTAACACAATTTGTGTGCATTACGAATAGGGATATGTAAAGGCTGTCAAAAGGTAAACAAAGACTCCGACAGGTCCAGAGAATTGGTAATATTATAGTTGTGGATGGATTACCACATTTTGTTGATAGAGCTCAAAGTGCGGGGAGAGTTTGTGGGGGTTTCAGAGAGATTTTTCAAGATGAAATTTGAAGCAATGGATCGAATTTAAAACGGTCTAAACCTAATCTAAATATGTTGGGATTTCATATTCTCATGACACGTCGATGTATTAAGAATGTAAATTTCAATAAAAACAATACAATTAAGTTGAATTTTAACAACGGATTTTTGATTAAATAATACTCTTTATCTTATGAAAGTTTTACTTTCTTGAAATCAAGGGTTTACGTCACCTTTTTCCTCTCCCTCCACCCAAAGAAAAAAAAAAGTTGAATTTTAACACAGATTTATTCCATAATTATTGAATCATATCATATATTGATATGCAAAAGTAGGGAATTCTAATTGGATCATAACGGATTCAAATTTGTGAAATATGATATAACATATTTGAATCCAAATTAAATATGAAAATTATTAGATTTGATTGTATGTGTAAAGAAAATACGTGTTATTATAGATATATTTTAATATGAAATGGTGGAAATCTATCTATCTACATTTTGACCGAAACAAATTAACGATAGAATCGAAATTAATGTTTTAAGGTAGTTTAGAGTAACATATTTTTACCATAATTTCAGGATATTTTTAGGTATTTTAATATATTTTTACTAATATTAAAAATAAAATTCCATATTTTTTATTCATTTTCATTATTTTTCGAATCGTTTCCGAAATATTACTTCAGCGTGGCTGTAAGTGTAACAAAGGAAACACAGGAACAATGGAGATAAGAGCCATTGAAGACATTGTCATTGGCCAAGACCTCACCCCTCCCCTCTCACCCCTCGCTTTCTGTCTCCACGACTCCTCTCTTCTCTCTCACTGCTCCGCCTGCTTCTCCCCCCTCCCATCTCCTCCACCCCATCCAAATTCCCATTTTACCCCCACTGATACTTCACATCACACCCCCACAAAACCCAAAACCCCACTCTATTGTTCCCCACGATGCTCCGCCTCCGACCACCCCCTACACATCTCCGCCTCCGAACCCCACCTCCTCCAATCATATTCCAGCGCATTTCACCACTCACTAGATGACACCTCAGATCTCCGTCTCGCCCTCCGTTTACTCCATCACTTCGAAAAACATGGATTCGTTCCCAAAATCGACGACGGGTTGGAGAGAATCGGCGGGCTGATGAGTAATCGCGAGAAATTGATGAGCATTTCCGACGATGAGGAAGAGAACGACAGCATTTTGGAGAGGATTACGGAAGGCGCGAAGGCGATGAAGGTGGCCAGAAGGATGAGAGACGGTGTCGTTTTGGATTTGGGTTGTGAGCAGGAGGAGTATTTTGCGGAAGAGGAGGTGGTGTTGTGTGTGGTGCTAACGAACGCCGTGGAGGTGCAGGGTAAGAATGGGCGTTATATAGGAATTGCGGTCTATGATACCAACTTCTCGTGGATTAATCATAGCTGTTCTCCTAATGCTTGTTTCCAGTTTTGCATGCCGCCGTGGGCTGGTGGTGAGTCTCGGCTGCGGATTTTTCCGGCCGCCATGGCGGGCGGTGGTAAAAGTGAATTGAATGGTGATAGTGTTTGTAATTACAAACGTGAAATGACATCTAAAGGTTTTCCATTAATTGTTGTTGTTTATTTTGTTTCAGAACATCAAATATGCATTGTTTAATTCAGTGTAATTGTACATTATATTTGTTCCTTGTGTGATTTTTGGCAATGTAGAATGTGAGAGGCATGGTCCGAGACTTGTAGTTCGGAGTATTAAAACCATTAAGAAGGGGGAGGTGGTATCAATTGCATACACTGATTTGTTACATCCTAAGGTAAAATACGATTTCGTCGTATATAATTTTGTATGTACAATTGTTGTCTTTGCATAATGGTTACAATAGGGCTAAATAGGTGGCATCAGGTTCCATTGTTACCATCAGTGGAGTAGGATAAAAAGTTCAACTTTCATGGTAAAATAACAATAGTGAAAAGAAATTGGACCGAGTGATATGGTTCAACCTTTTGATTTGATACTAAAAATTGTTTGACATCAAAGTTGTATTTTTTCTTGGCATGAATTTCAAATTTTGGTCTTTTTTTTTGTATTTTGGTTTAAAAGATATCCAGGCCTATTAGAGTATTGAGGTACAATAACATTGGTGAATGGAACTACTCCTCAATGTTCTTAATGGCTAACTCAGTTATATATGCAGGAACACTTTAGTGGGATAAATTTTTTTAAACTGCAGATGAATAATGGGTGACATTGCTGCCAAATTGTAATGAGTTTTTGTTTAGTGTTAAATTAATTGAACTCTTCTGTAGTTTTAGTTTTTGAAAGCCAAAGCAAAGGTGGAAATGCATTGCAATATGCGTGGAAAATCGATTTTTGTCAATCCATATTAGATGTGTAGCCATATATAGCACCAATGAAGTTGATTCTTGTCAAAAATTCAACTAAGTGGTCCATGCACTATACTTTTGATGTATCTGATCACTCTATGGTTAACCTAGATGTAGTCCTCATTTTTTGAATATAGCTGCTCCCTATGATATATATGACTTGTTGTCATTTTTATGGCATTTTGGGACATTTATGTTAAGCTTCCCCCCTCCCCCCTCCCCCCTTCTTTTTTTTTATTTTACTTTTCATGATATGTCAGGAAATAGTAAATGAATCGTGTTCACAATGTTTTTACCTTGAGTTTCCAACTGTTCGAGTTTTTTATAAATTTCCTTGTGCCTTTTCACTTTCGCCTGAGGAAGTTTATTGGGTTTACCGAAGTTTCTTTTGAATCCTTCCGTTTTATAGGTGATGAGGCATTCAGAGTTATGGTTCAAATATCGATTCATCTGTTACTGTAGGCGATGTAGTGCGCTGCCCCCAATGTATGTGGATCGTGTGCTGAAAGTAAGAATTCCATGAAATGCAATATGTCCTTTGCTAGTTAAACGTTGAAGTTGAAGTATCTTTTTTTTTTGGTCAGAGTTGAAGTGTCTTTTTAAACCAGTCTATGTTCATAGTATTTGCATCCTGCTGTTTTCTTGTCCAGGAAATTTTTGCTGTCAATCTCGATTGTACCAACTTGTGCTCTGACCACAACTTTTATAGAGAGGAGGCAGTCAAGATGTTCACAGAATGCATAGATGATACTATAACCGAATATCTGTCATTTGGTAATCCTAGATCTTGCTGTGAGCGGCTTGAGAACATGCTAACTCATGGACTTCTTGATGAGCAGTTAGAACCAAAAAAAGAGACATCTCAATATAAATTTAAGTTGCATCCCCTTCACTATCTCTCGTTGAATGCCTACACCACGCTGGCTTCTGCATATAAAATCCGTGGGAGTGATTTATTGGCTCTCAATCCTGAAAGCAAAGAACATCAGGTGGAAGCTTTCTGTATGAGCAGAATCAGTGCAGCGTACTCTCTGTTACTTGCAGGAGCCACCCAAAATCTATTTCTCTTGGAGTCTTCTCTTGTTTCATCTGTTGCAAATTTCTGGACAAGTGCAGGGGAGTCCTTATTAGATCTTGCTAAAAGCTCTGTATGGAGATTGTCCAATTGTGGACCTACTTCCGAATATCCATACGTCTCAAATTATAAATACTGTAAATGTGCCCTTATGGATTTCTGGGAAGCCAATTCCTGTAGCAATCAAATTCAGAATTCGGAACTTGATGATATATCTAAGGAGTTTCTTTATTGTGTTACAACTATAACAGCAACAATCTGGAGCTTTCTGATTCATGAGAACTGTTATCTAAAACTTATTGCGGATCCCATTGATTTTAGATGGCTTGAGGCTGCGAAGAATTTTGAAACGTTTAATTCTACAACTCATTCAGGCAGCGCTGAAGGGGCGAGAAATGTTTCTAGATGTGAAGCACAGAGATATGGAGCAGACGCCAACCAAGAAAGGATAATTCTCTTTCGGCTTGGTGTCCATTGCTTACTGTATGGAGGGTATTTATCAAGCGTCTGTTATGGCAACAAATCTCAATTGAATAATTACATTCAGAATCTTCTGCATGGTGAAGGTAATATCATTGATGCAGAGTCCATTACATAAATTGAGATATGAAACACACAAGTTGTTTGAAGTCTGCTGGTTGGATTTGTTGGCGACTTGAAATTTCTGGTTTACGTATCAAATACTAAACTGGTAAATAACAATTGCTGCACTTGATCTTAGTCAAAAGGGAAACGTTTAAAGTTAGGAATCAAACCTTTGCATTGGGCTAGTGAGTTTCCCGGTGGCAAGAAGTCTTATGCGAATGTTTTCTTTCGGATTATAATTTGTTACAATAAATAATCATAACCTTCTCTTCTCACATCAGCAAACTGAACTGATGGATGGTTTTGTAAACCAAACAAGAGACTTTTGAATGTTTCAACATTTGTCTGCACACCTGTAAGTTCGTGGGTCCAACCAATCTATTTTTGTTTTACGGACGTGGCCACGCGATCATATATGTATGTGGACCCCAGAAACAAAAATTCAACGTGCTTATGTATATGGATGGATGGGACCATTGATTATATATATATCTATATCTATGGGAGTATACATTAATATACCTAGCATTATTCACCATAAGTCTCCAAAATCAATTTCCCTACTTTATTTGAATAATAATTTATTTATAATATAATTCCAAGCAATTCATCTGAATATAGAAAGTATATTTCATAGATCTGTATAATTTTATTTGTGTGATTAAATGTGGAGGAATGGGGTAGATCATGATAAGAATGAAATAAAAAGGTTAAAATACTACTTAAAAGTGCTAAAAATAACAANTCTGTATAATTTTATTTGTGTGATTAAATGTGGAGGAATGGGGTAGATCATGATAAGGATGAAATAAAAAGGTTAAAATACTACTTAAAAGTGCTAAAAATAAAACTATAAATTAAATAAAAAGTAATTAGATCATAATTTTTTTATTTTCTTTAATTTTTTTTATTTATTATTTTGTGAATTTTACGAGACCATAAGTAATCTTTGCATGTTCGTTTTGTCTCCAAAACTTGATCAAATCATGTTGTGGCAATATACAAGTCAACAGAATGAAATAAATAAATTAAAAAAAAAAACAATAATTGCGGAGTTGAAATTGATAATATGTACAAAGTATAAGCTTGGCATGTGCAGGTGGCAGTCCCAAACTAATTAAATACTTAGTCCAAGCCACGCTTATGGAGTAGTTGTTTACCCAACTTCAAATACTATGTGGGCCGGAGCTCAACTGTTCAAGTGAATATCTGGGGAGGGTAATTCAGACTGGCCGGCCCCAGATCCAACTCTCATTCAGTGGGCCGCAGTACCGGCCATTATCGCTTAATTTGGAAGAAATGATTACTTTTTACCTGGGAAGTCAAATCTTTCAATGCCCAATAGAAGGAAGTTTCAATTTATTATTAAACTAATGATCCGTTTGCTACGTTTCGGAAAGTGGGTGGATCAAAGAGTAAAAGAATTTATAAAATATTATGCTTGATTAAAAAAAATAAAAAATTATGTTTTAAAATATAGTGATCTGTCTATGACTAATAATATATGTGGTAATCTCATATGTGGATATAATGATAAAATATGTGTGTATATATATATATATATAATAATCATTCTTACCTTTCATTTCTCATATTAAACATAAAAGAGAGAAGGGATTTTATTTCCTTTGAAAAATAAAAATATATTATTTATATTTAATTTAAAGACCTAAATAATTTTAGTTGTTAAATGAAAAATGAGTCTCATTCAATATTAAAATTTAATTAATCTAATGACTACAATAAATTAAATCTCTTAAATTAATCTAAAAAATATTGCCTTTTAAATTAGTGGAAGCACTATTTTCAAAATAATGAAAAAATATTTTATCATTGGATTAAAAGTGAGCTCAATTTAATATTGGAACGTATAATTAATTATTATTATTATTATTATTATTTTTGAAGAAAAGAAAGATGAGACTTGAACGGTTGAATACTTGATTTTTCACGAGATAAAAAATATTATTAGATCAAAAGTTTCAACTAATTCAATCGCCATATGGAATTTAGATAAGATTGGTTGCAGATTAACTAGCATTTTAAAGTAGGGGTTTACTTCTTCAATCTTGGCCGTCCATCACATTACTTCAGCCTTTCCAAAGCACAAGCTCTGAAGTCGATGCACACCACCACTTATATATAACACCGCTCAGAACTCTTCCAGAAACCATTTACAACCTACTTTCACATATATCTTCCCCATATAGTCATCCTCATCACCCTAAGCAAGCACCACCATGGCTGAAGAGAAGCACCACCACCACCACCTCTTCCCCCACAAGAAGGAGGAAGACATGCCTACAGACGTAGGTGTGTACTCTGAGACCACCTATGCCGCCGATGGCATGGGTGACTACTCTGCAACCACTGAAGCTGTGGTGGTGGAAGAAACCCATGATTATAAGAAGGAGGAGAAGCACCACAAACACCTCGAACACCTCGGCGAGCTTGGCGCCACCGCGGCTGGTGTCTATGCCTTGGTAATGTTCTAATTTTATATATATATATATATATAACGATTAATCATTATTACAAGTGTCATAAATCAAGAAACTTCATGTAGGTCATGTTTCTCATATTCTTGGTTTTTTGGTGTATGGTAATACCAGCATGAGAAACACAAGGCAAAGAAAGACCCGGAGCATGAACACAAGCACAAGGTAGAGGAAGAAATAGCAGCTGCAGTGGCAGTTGGAGCTGGTGGATATGCATTCCACGAGCATCATGAGAAGAAAGAGGCCAAGAAAGAAGATGAAGAGGCTTGCGGAAAGAAGCATCACCACCTCTTTTAAGTGCCTTCCTGTCTCTCCTTTGATCCATTCCACGGAGTTGTGTTATCTTTATTAGCAAATATCAACTACCCTCAATTATTTTATGTATGGGTCTGAGTTTAGGTTTGAGTCTGAATTCGAGTTTTTGTTTTATTGTCCTATCTGTGTGGACATAGTAGAAGCCGTGTTTATTGGTTATGTACGTTCTTATAAGCATTGGCGTAATAATATGGTTTGAGATCTTTGTTTATGTTTTTTATTTGTGAATGATCTAAGTTTATATCTCTCAGTTTTAAACTATCATTTCATCCATATGTGTTGTTCTTTTTAAGGAAAGTCAATATGTTTTTTTTTCTTCGACGAATCACTCTAACAGTCATGATTAATGTAAAAACTTCCCTAATCCACAAACATTTGAGCAAGGATTAATGAAAAAAAGGCCACATCTTATGATTCATTTGCTTCCTATATAGTGGGCCAATGATGTCATTTTATTTTGGTGAAATTAAATTTAGTGGATGAGTTTTTTATATAATATATTCCGAATTCAATTTCTTCTAGTGTAAGATTATTTATTGCTCATCTCTTTTATATCTACCTATAAAACCGCAAAATAATGCATTGATTATGACCTTTCATACTTATCTGGCAAGATGTTTGTCAAATGTCAATGGAAATCGATAGATAGCTCTAGAAAGATTATATATTGAAACGTACATCAACCTTTTAATTCACTTTGTCGCACTTTGACACATCCTTAAACAAATTTGAATACTAATATATAGATCATATTAGAGATATGATAGGATTCATCTAAATTAATCAATATCCACGGTTAGCGTAAGATAAAGATAAATATAAGAGATGTGATAGGATTCATATAGATCAATCAATATCCACAGTTGGGATAAGATAATGATAGATTAGCGTGATATATTTATCTTTATCTTATTCTGACTATAGATATTGATGGATCTATATAAACCATATTATATCTCTAATATCATCTCTCTCTCTCTCTCTATATATATATATATATATATATATATATATATATAATAAAGAAAAACGATTTTGAATTAAAGAGACAAAGAGCGGCTCAGATCGTTTCATAATAAAAAAAGTCATAATTCAACGGACGGCGTTATCTCAAACTGTCTTATGCTATTAATGTCTTAGATCGTTTTGATCCGACGTATCATATTAGCTCTTGAAAATTTTTTGCCACTCAAAACTTTTAGTTTCTAAAAACTAACATTCCTAAATTTAATTCTCCAACCCAATCAAATCTGGCAATTAAGCGATCTCTCATTCCTCAACTCTGTCTCTCTCTCTCTCCCTAAAATACATATTATAACTCTTATCATTATTTCTCTGATTTTATTTTCTATGTTAAGGGATCACTTTCTATACTGGGATATTGATTTTCCCTCACACTCTCATCTTTCATGATTCTCTTTCCAAATTAAGACACATGTCTCCCTAAAATTCTATCATAATATAACTGTTCTCCATATNGATCCAAAATAATACTGCTCATTGCACCAAATAACAAGAATAAAAAATAATTCAAACATGGTCTTGGCTGGCCCTACTTAGCCTGTGAAGCCAATCAATGTCTAAACAATTTTTCTATTTGCAATATAACCCCCGTATCAATAATTAGCGGGTAAATTCAGGTATCCGATATATAATGTGCATGGCGAGTCGAACGTGGCTTTTACTCGGAGTGGTTCGGATCATTTAACAAAACCCGACATTGCAAAACTTACCGTCAGTTTTTAGTAGTAGATGGTTGGACTGGGGGATGACCCAATTTACCAAATGGATCTGAATATTGTGTGTGGTGGCTGGCCTATTCTGGCCAAGATGTGTTCAAACATTTTATTCAGATATGTTCTTTTAAATCTTTTACGTTATCTACACTTCATTTTCAATGAGAGTGATCATATTGCCAATTTTTTCAAAGGACTAACCAAGGTACCTGCATTAAAAGATCTACTAACCAAAAAAAATAAATTAAAAGATCATATGTTGTTGAACCAATGTTAGGTGTTTCATATTTTAAATCCGACCCAGACATCAACGTCAATGGATCGCTTAGGTGTTGTCTGATAAAAATAAAAATTAAGCAATGATTAGACGGAAGGCATTGCCACCAGACCCTCAAAGAGCCTTAAGCCATGGACTCGAACTTGGGCCGATATGTGCTCCGGACTAAAGCTTTTGAATTTCATAATCAAAGATTAAAAAATCGGAAGATGTTATATCAGAACGGAAGCAAATCGAAATGGAAAATAAAACATATACAACAGATTCATAATGGTCCATTACCCTAATTTTTACTGACGTGATTTTGTATACATAAGCATGATATTATAGGTGGATTTGTATTGGGCTGTAATGCCTGGACTGGATGAGTCAGACCTGGTTTGATAGACTAACCAGTGGATGTTTTAGCTTATGTTGATGAGTAAATATTCATTACATAAGTCATACCTTGTCAAGATTGGCACTTTATAAAACTGACATCCATAGGGTTTTGTTAAATGATCAAAATTTTATAGAATTCACGTCTATAGTGATATTATATGTACTATTGTCAATGATAATATAGTATCATCATATTCATCAGAATCACAAGGTGGGTTTATTTCAATTTGAACTCCAAAAGATAGCATAAGCCACAACACAACCTTGACACTCCAAAACAAAACCAAAGCCAAAAAACTTGGTAGATCCCTTCAAAGTTCAAACCCTATTTTCTTCCATCCCACCACCGCAGCACCAATTCAAACCGGAATATCGGCCAACACAGCAGCCGGAGATTGCACTGTTGGTTGGACTTGTGGCGATGATGCCCCTGCCCCACAATAATCAGCAAGAATGTCTCCTTCCTCAGCGGTGTAACCTAGTGAAGTAAGCATGCTAGGCCAGCAATGGTGTGTGATGGTACGGATGGCTCTACAACATTCCATTCCCAGACTCGTCTCGCCATTGATGAAGAAAAGAATGATCTCGTTGGTGCACGATTTTAGCTCCCAGAGTGCACTCCAACATTCGACCGTGCCATTTTCACCTTCAAGCCTAGTCGTGATGTCTTTGCCGGGCTTTATGGGCATGTCACGAGTCGCGGTCACCGTGAAGATAAGGCATGAGAGCATGAATGTTAGAGGAAGGTTGATGATTGCCATGGCTTTGCTTCAAAGACAAATGGTGCAAACAATGAAACGAAGTATATTGAGAGAGAGCGAGAGAGAGAAATGGTTCTTTAGGGACCCATTATATAGGGACGATCGGATAGGAACTTATAGACGTTTCAGCTTCCTCCCAAGTATCTTTTGGACAACATTATATATCCCTTAAACCCCAAGGGTTAGCTTGGTGGTTCAAGGGTCAATTGATAAGTACCTTAATTTGGTACTCAAGGGTTGAAAACTTAGATTTACCCCTATGCGTGGAGAGTCAGCTTTGTGTGTGGGTCTAGCATTAATCCGGTCCAAAGAGTTGAAATAACTGGAATTCCAAAAAAAAAAAAAACATTATATATCCCTTCTCCTTGAACATAAAATCACTCATTTAAATCAAAGTGAATATTCAATAGAACTACTGATTCAATGGTCTTCCTTGATTTAAAATACATAGCACTATTCATTAAAATTGTATGTCTTCATTAACACATGGTATAATAAATCATTTATAAAACAGCAGAGTATAATAACTCGTTTATAAAACAGCATATAGGCCTAATAAAACCAATATTCCAATATTTTCTCAATCATAGTGGTAAATTGAAATTGATTTATAATTTCACATGTCAATAACGTGATAGTATGGTCGGATTGGATATTTACTTGCCGGATCTCTGGCTTGTAGAACTACTAGACCTCCTCTCTTTTTTTTTTTGGGTCCTCAAGGCAACCTGATCTTAACACAAAGTGACAACCCAAAAGCCTGAAACCGAAGTTCATTCCAAAAGGCACAAAAACTGATCAGTAATAAATTTCCGTTATCTATCTGATTAGAGGAAAGTGAAGAAAGCAATCCAACCCGACTAATGCCGGTGGAATTGATGAATTTGATTTAATTTATTACCCTAATAATTTATCAATTAATAGAGTCATAATGAAGAAACTCAACATTTATAGTTTTAATAATTCAATTGAATCACGTCACATGTAAGTTGATTCGAACAACCTTGGTCAACGATCAAGGGTGTTCGAATCAACTTACATGTACTTGGGCTAATCTCCTCCCCGATTTAGTCAAAGGCAAGTCATTCACGCTCAGATTAAAGTATTCATGAGACTTCAAAGAGTTGTCAAGATTCAAATTCAAGATAACTGAGTATACAGGTCATCCATGTTATTACTGTAATACCCTTTGGAATTGTCCAATTTTTAGATTGAAATAGCATTAATCGTATTTTTCATTGTTCAATTTCCACTATCTAACCAAGTTCTTGGCATTAAATATCCTTATTAGGACCACATGCAATAGATCTATAATTCAATCCCATACACAATCCAATTATTATTAAGAAAACTAATGCAACAAATATCTTAACCTGTAGTGGAGCATTCAAACGTTGTCATGCTTCATGTATTGCTGTGTTCTGAACAACATATATATACCTCCTAAATAAATATAAATTGCAAAAAAGAAACATGGACCTGACTAATGGGCCTTCACCCCAATCTGTGCGGCCCAATGGAGGTCCAAATTCCATTAAATCTTTTCCAGTGGGTCATTTGATCCTAACTAACTAATTCGTTTTGACCATTGAATAACAAATAGTTTTAATATTGGATGAGGTCCACTATGAATTTAACCTGTTGTGTTAGATTAAGTTAAACAAATTGAGATAGAGCAGCATCTCTATCCTAGATGGTTAATTCCACTTTAAGGGAGTGGAGATTATTGGTTTGAACCTATTATATATCAGTTAGAATAATAATAATTAAAAAATAATAATATTGAGACATAATGTACTATTATCATTTAATTAGTAATAGACAACATTAGGTTAATTATGTCCTCACTACTCAAATTAGGTCATCTAACATTATTTTTTGTCCAAATTACTTTAAACTTTATTGCTTTGTTTTGTGTGTTTTTTTTTTTTTTATAAACAAGAAACAGTAAAAGTTTCTGACTTCCATGGCATGTGAATCAAAGGTCACTTGCCCTACAAGAAGACAACCATAAAAAACGTAATTGATTCGTAGGATGATTTTCCGTTGTTTGGGGGAACCGTACTCAAGTTTTTAATGTGGGTTCAAATCTCTATCGAAATACAAATCTTGTTAAATTGGTACATGGGTTGAGAGACTAGTTCATGCACTTAGATTTTGCACTCAGTTCTATTCAGACTTACGAGTTTAAGCAACATAAGCACCTATACATGCCTAAAACAGACCAATAATTTTCTCCATTACCTCCAAAAAAAATGGTATTACTGCTTATAAAAAATAAAAAAAACAAATAATTAAAACAGTTGATAGTCGATCATAATATTTTTATAATTTTATGCGATTAGGAACAGACTAACAGTATCACTCAGCTATCTAATGCTCTATCTAGTCTTGGGGTGTGACTTGGGCTGGTTGAGAGGTTGACCCTAGTTCAACCCTAGGTTTAGACCTTAACCCGAGTATTGCCTAAGTTGAATTTGAACGGGTTCGGATTGAATTCGGATTACCCCAATTAGGGTTTATTTCGGATTTAAATTCGGGTTGGGTTTGTTCAGGTCCAAAATCAACTTGTTGTTCTAAATTTGGTAAATATTATATAGTATTCACATGAAGTAATAACCAGCAACTTCAATCAAATGTTTAACATAAAAATCATAATATTTAAAGTACAAAAAAATATATTGGACAAAAAATTAAATTATATTTTTCTTAACATAAAGACGTAATAACCAAATTAACATTAAAAAAAATATTGGATTCAATGTTTAACCATAATATTCGGGTTAAACTCAGTTATCCAAGACCTCAATTAGGGTATTGCCCAAATTCAATTCGGATTGATATATTTTGACCCAAATCTAACCCAAACATTAAAGATTTCAACCCAAATCTTATTTTTTCGGATTAAATTCAAATTGACCCAGTCAAATTATACCCCTAAAGGTCGTTTGTTTTGAGTATTAGAGTTGTATAAAGAGGTGGTATTAGGAAAATAGTATGTGGGACCCATCTTATACGTTGTTTGTTTGGTATTTTATAGTCAGTACTATTTTTCGGATCATAATACCGATCCGCTATGAATAGTAGTCATAATGCTTTGTAGAAGGTCTTAATGAATACCACCTAGGGGTGGTATTATATTATTGATATAGGTATTATAAACTAAAATGATCGAAATGCCCTCCGGTACAATTCTCATATAAAAGTATAGCCGTTATTTTTGACTTTTTAAAGGTTAAAATTGTCTTTTTCATTGATTAGTCGCAATTGTTAACTTTTTTAAGTAGGTATTACACTAATAATATTTGTGATAAACAAATAAAGAGAAGGATAAGATTATAATTTAATACCGAGTATAATATATTATTAGATCATAGTAGAATAAATATAAAATTTCATGCTACCTAAATTTTATATCCAAAATAAACATGTCCTAATCTAGTCCAAAAAGGTCACCTATTTGCAAAACACCTTTCCAAATAATTGCTTTATGGAATTAGTATAACCCACTTGGGCATTGACAAATAGCCGCGGCTCATGGGCTAATTTTTGAAAGGCCGAAGGTTCATCGGGCATTGGTTGGGTCAAGCTGCCATGTGACAGTAAATAAGATATTGTTAGACCATCTCCGACGTTCATTTCAATTTTTCACTCATTTGTGAATAAAAATTTAGATTTTATAGAAAACATTTTAGTTGGCAAATTTAAATTTAAAAAATGACAAATAAAATTTTTAAAAATAATACACTCAAATTTAAAGACTGGTGTAATATGATCATTTGAATCAGTACAAGAGAGTGAAATCTGATCTCTGGAGATTTGAATGTCGCTGATCGCCATGTCTTTTGGCGCCTTAACCTGACATCTAAAAAAAGGCTGTTCCTCACAGTCACAGACCTCTCTCGATCTCCGTTCCCAACAACCCCCTTGCCCCGCCCCGGAAAAAAAAAAAAAACCCACCGACACTAACGAACACACGCATGGCCCAACTCGGGAAACAATGACAGCCATTCGTAACGTCACGTACACACTCACACTGAGACAATAGGTGCCTTATACGGACAACTGGTAGAGTTATTGCGTGACAGCTAATGAAGGCGCAACTCAGCAACCTGCCATTAATAAATCCTCCTATTTAAATTCTATTCTCTTTAAATTTATTTAACTCATTTTTAATTTAGAATTAATTATTTTTTACCTATTTGTATTTTCTGTTGAAAACATTTTATTTACATTATGTTTACAATAATGCACATTACTCCTTTAGTTGTATACCAAAATAAAATAATTGACACAATTAACAGAATTAAAAAATTATCATAATAACCACATTTTAAAATCAAATTTTTTATCTGATTTACTCGTGACCATAAAACTAATTGAACATGACAACAAACCAACATATTTCAATCAAACATATCGAATCTCTTTTACCCTCAAATAAAGTTTTGATCTGAAGTCGAAAATCACTTATATTTTTTTATATATTTTTTTATGTAGGACTAATACCCTACCTATTTGAGTATTATATCATATATAGGCACTTGTACAATGTTATTTTGAAGGGAAATAATGGAAATAAAGTGTACATCATCATGTGTTTGGGTGTGTGGAGCACACTCTCCTTTAATTTAGATGATAAAATTAATCATTTTAATTTGATATAAAACTACAATGTGATTATGTGTATAATTTTAAAACATCAAGTAAGTAAGTAAAGGTGTTTCTAGTCAAAACCACATGGAGATAAAAACTAATTAACCCTTAAATTTATTTAAAATTATTTTGTCAAATTCATATCAAATTTAAATTTGTATTATGTATGAATTCAGATTCTCTTTTTTTAAATAATGTTATTGAGAACTAAAAAATTAATTTAATATTTATGACAGTAATTGTTTTATTTATTGATTAAGACTCTATCACTTAATAAATCATTATGTCAATAAATTAAATAAATTTTTTAAATTCGAATAACATTATTCTATTTTATTTATTTATCTTCATTACATATCATTCACTAATAACGAGTACACATATGACAAAACACATAAACAGCGTCTGACTTCATTGAACATATTTTTATCCT